TACTAAAAATACAAAAATTAGCCGGGCGTGGTGGCACACACCTGTAGTCCCAGCTACTAGGGAGGCTGAGGCAGGAGAATGGCTTGAACCCTGGAGGCAGAGGTTGCAGTGAGCCCAGATCACACCACTGCACTCCAGCTTGGGCAACAAGAGCGAAACTCCATCCCCCAAAAAACAAAAACAAAAACATAACGTTAATAGACTAAAATGTAGGAGAATATCTTGTGACTAAGGAGGCTACAGAAGAACATCTTATACAAAAGTTCAAAAGCAGGCCAGGTGCAGTGGATCACACCTGTAATCTCAGCACTTTGGGAGGCGAGATGGAAGGATCACTGGAGCTCAGAAGTTCAAGACCAGCCTGGGCAACACAGCGAAACCTCGTCTCTACAAAAAAATTTTTTAATTAGCCAGGCATGGTGGCACCCAACTGTAGTCCCAGCTACTTGGGAGGTTGAGGCGGAAGGATTGCTTGAGCCCGAGAGGTTGAGGCTGCAGTGAGCCATGATCACACCACTGCACTCTAGCCTGGGCAACAGGCTGTCTCAAAAGAAAAAAAAAAAAAAAAAAAAAAAAAAGTTCAAAAGCACAGCTTTAAGATAAAAATTAATTTCATTGCACAAGAAACAAGGATTTCTGTTCAGTGAAGGACACCATGGACAGAGTTAATAATTAGTGGAATGGCCGGGCGCGGTGGCTCAAGCCTGTAATCCCAGCACTTTGGGAGGCTGAGATGGGCGGATCACGAGGTCAGGAGATCGAGACCATCCTGGCGAACACGGTGAAACCCCGTCTCTACTAAAAATACAAAAAATTAGCCGGGCGAGGTGGCGGGCGCCTGTAGTCCCAGCTACTCGGGAGGCTGAGGCAGGAGAATGGCGTAAACCCGGGAGGCGGAGCTTGCAGTGAGCTGAGATCCGGCCACTGCACTCCAGCCTGGGAGACAGAGCGAGACTCCGTCTCAAAAAAAAAAAAAAAAAAAAAAAAAAAAAAAAAAATTAGTGGAATGAGAGATGGTATTTGAGACCAATAAGAGATTAGAATATACGAAAAAGCCCTACAAATCAACAACAAAAAAGGAGCCTGCAACCTGAAAAGAAAGATGGGCAAAAGATATGAACAGGAAATTTACAGAAGCATAAACTCAAAAATTCAAGAGGCCAGGTGTAGTGCCTCACACCTGTAACCCTAGTGATTTGGGAGGCTGAAGTGGGAGGATCACTTGAGGCTAGGAGTTCGAATAGCCCAGGCAACATAGTGAGACCTCGTTTCTACCAAAAACAAAAAAATTAGCTGGGCATATAGTCCTAGCTACTTGGGAGGCTAAGGCCTGAGGCCTTCAGCCTCCTGAAGCAGGAGGATTATTTGAGCCCAGGAGCTCAAGGCTACAGTGAGCTATGATTGTGCCACTGCACTTCAGCCTGCATGATAAAGCAAGACCCTTTCACAGAAAACAAGTCTGGGCGCAGTGGTTCATGCCTTTAACCCCAGCGATTTGGGAGGCCAAGGTGGGTGGATCACCTAAGGTCAGGAGTTCGAGACCAGCCTGACCAATGCGGTGAAACCCCGCCTCTACTAAAAATACAAAAATTAGCCAAGCATGGTGATGCGTGCCTGTAGTCCCAGCTACTCGGGAGGCTGAGACAGGAGAACTGCTTGAACTCCGGGAGGCGGAGGTTGCAGTGAGCTGAGATTGTGCCACTGCACTCCAGCCTGGGCAACAGAGCAAGACTCCGTCTCAAAAAAAAAAAAGAAGGCCGGGCGCGGTGGCTCAAGCCTGTAATCCCAGCACTTTGGGAGGCCGAGACGGGCGGATCACGAGGTTAGGAGATCGAGACCATCCTGGCTAACACGGTGAAACCCCGTCTCTACTAAAAAATACAAAAAAATAGCCGGGCGAAGTGGCGGGCGCCTGTAGTCCCAGCTACTCGGGAGGCTGAGGCAGGAGAATGGCGTAAACCCGGGAGGCGGAGCTTGCAGTGAGCCGAGATCCGGCCACTGCACTCCCGCCCGGGCGACAGAGCGAGACTCCATCTCAAAAAAAAAAAAAAAAAAAAAAAAAAAAAAAAAAGAAAGAAAGAAAAGAAAAGGCTGTGCGTGATGGCTCACACCTGTAATCCCAGCACTTTGGGAGGCCAAGGTGGGCGAATTACAAGGTCAGGAGTTCAAGACCAGCCTGACCAATATGGTGAAACCTCATCTCTGCTAAAAATACAAAAATTAGCTGGGTGTGGTGGTGGCGCGTGCCTGAAATCCCAGCTACTCAGGAGGCTGAGGCAGGAGAATCATTGAACTCTGCAGGCAGAGGTTGCCGTGAGCCGAGATAGTACCACTGCACTCCAGCTTGAGCGACAGAGTGTGACTCCATCTCAAAAAAAACAGACAAGAAGCGATGCTTAAAATCCTTAGTAACCAGAGAAATACAAATTAAAGCAACAATGAAATATCACTTTATATCTATCAGACTGACAAAAATTAGAAAAGCAGATAATGTCATCACAGGAGGGATGCAGAGATATAAGGCCCCTCATATGCTGCAGGTGGAAGAGTTTGCTGGTGCAGCTTTTCCGGAGAACAATTTGGCGCTACTTAGACAGGTGAGTTCTATGTATACTCTATGACCCAGCAAGTCCACCTCTGGGTTTATAACCCCCCAAATTCTCACACAGAATTACGGCACATACTTAAGCATGTTCACTGCAGCCCTGTTTATAATGACAAAGAGCTGGAAGCAAGCTGAGCGTCCTATGCCCAGAGATGAACAGGTACAATCTGTGACTGTACACCACAGAGGACTGCATTACTCACTAGTGAGGTATCATGCGGCGACACAGCCCTTAGTGGAAAAATAGGCACACTGAGCTATACAACTCAAAACACACCATTTACATAATTTATACAAATGTACAACATTTAAGTCCAGATTAGAAGAAATCAACTGTAAAAAGACATTTGTAACAATCCAGGAGAAATTTGGGCATAAACAGTAGATGATATTAACATAGGATAGTGCTGTTTTAAATTAGAAGCACATAGTAAGCCGGGTGCAGTGGCTCACACCTGTAACCAGCATTTTGTGAGACTGCAGTGGAAACATCTTGAGCCCAGAAGTTTGAGACCACCCTGGGCAACACAGTGAGACCCCCATCACTACAAAAACATTTTAAAAATTAGCTGGATGGGGTGGCCCACACCTGTGGTCCTAGCTGCTCCAGAGGCTAAGATAGGAGGATCACTTGCTCCTGGGAGGTTGAGGCTACAGTGAGCCATAATGGTGCCACTGCACTCTAGCCTGGAAAACAAAGTGACACCCCTGACTCAAAAATAATAGTAGTAACAGTTAAGGGCCGGGCGTGGTGGCTCATGCCTGTAATCCCAGCACTTTGGGATGCCAAGGCCAGTGGACACCAGCCTGGCCAACATGGTGAAACCCTGTCTCTACTAAAAATACAAAAATTAGCTGGGTGTGGTAGTGCACACTTGTAGTCCCAGCTACTCGGGAGGCTGAAGCAGGAAAATGGCTTGAACGCAGGAGGTGGAGGTTGCAGTAAGCCGAGATCGCACCACTGCCCTCCAGCCTGGGTGACACAGCGATACTCTGTCTTTAAAAAATTGAAAAATAAAAATAAATCAAATCAAATCAAATCGGAAGGACAGGGCCTCTTCTGAAATGGCTGAGAAACAGAAAGAACTCAGGGAAAGAATATCTCCAAGTAGCTGGGGTGGAAGAAGGCAGCCTGGGGAATGTGTGCCTGATGGTATCAGAGAAGCCATTATGGAGCCACTACAACGAGGAATGGTGGCTGACAATCTCCCTGGCAGGCTCTACTAGGAGATAAACCCAATCGATCAATCTCCACAAAAGGCTACTTTTTGTTGGAGGGTGACAGTTGGGGAATCTGCCTAAACTTTTTTTTTTTCCAGACCGAGTCTTGCTCTGTCACCCAGGCTGGAGTGCAGTGACACCATCTCGGCTCGCTGCAACCTCCGCCTCCCGGGTTCCAACGATTCTCCTGCCTCAGGCTCCCGAGTAGTTGGGATTACTACTAGGCGCCCGCCGCCACGCCCGGCTATTTTTTGTATTTTTAGTAGAGACGGGATTTCACCATGTTGGCCAAGCTGGTGTCGAACTACTGAACTCGTGATCGGCCCGCTTCAGTCTCCCAAAGTGCTGGGATTATAGGCGTGAGCCGCCGCGCCCGGCCCGCCTAAGCTTGTTTTTACCGCCAGGAGGTGCCCTTGGACCACAGCTGAATTCTGAATGCTAGACAGTTGGGAAACTCACAGTCGCCTAGACTTCCAGCTTGGTGTGGACGAGGAGACCCTGTCCCACCCCTGAACTAGAGACCTCGCTGGGCCTCTCCACCAAGTATCCCTCTCGTGTGCTCACCACAGACCAGGACTGTGATGGACACACAATGAGAGAACCAGACCACGGATACTCACGAGCAAACAAAACATGACTAAGCGTAGCCTGGGTAGCAATGCCTCTTAGGCCTGTCCTAGTTTTGCCAGGTTATCCTTCTGCCACTTCGTTCTCAGTTTCCGTACCAATAAATAACATGTCTGTAATGAAACACTAAAATAATGTTTAAAGCGCTACAAAACAATGACTAGTTTTGCTTAAAATGTGGCGCGCCTGTATTTCTGAAATGTTGCCCCAAGCTGCCACAGAGGCCGGCCAGCCCGCTACGAAAGCCCCTTTTTAGGGCCCTCGGGGAGATTCCCCTTTGTCATTAGCTCTCCGGCCTCCTCAGAGGGCCCAATAGCAGGACCCATTGTGATGGTGAGTGACTCCCCCGGGCCTCCGCTTTTCTAGGCAGTAGTCGCGTCCAGAGCCCCTCTGACGCAGGAGTGGCGACCCTTTCCAGGGTGAAGACTGGCTGGCTGGGGCTGGGGGTGGGCTGACCTCCGCGGCGCTGTGCCGCCACCAAGAGGCCCCGCCCCCGTGCTGCGAGGTCATTTGTATGCAGCCTCGCGATTGGTCACTCGGCTCCCGCGAGGGGAAGGGGAGGGAAGCAGCGCGTACTCGCGCGTGCGTGAGCTGGTGCGTGAGCTGGCGCGCGAGAAAGGGCCCGGTCGCGTCGAGGCTCGAGCGGCCGTCGCCATTTTGTAGGGTTCTCCCTGACGCGGGAGCCGCCGCCGCCGCCGCCGCCACCCGGAGGTGCGAGGGGGTCTTGTGTGTGTGATGTGGGGAGCTCGGGGGCGGGGCGGGGCGGGCCGGGCCGGGCCTCTTGCAGAAGGCATGGCGGGGATTTGGGTTTCTCATTTTGCTGCGGGAGGTCTGGGAAGACAACGGGAGGAGGCGGGACCGGGTCTCCGGAAGGAGGCGGGGCAGGGGTCGGGTCGAGTCTTTGTTGGAGCGAAGAAGCTGGAGGGTGGGCCGCTTGGGGGGCGGGTGGTTGGTCCCGGTTAGAGGGAAAGGGGACTTTTTTCCTTTTAGTGTATCTTGAAAGGTGCTAGTGCGTGGAGGAGAGGTACACAGATTTCCCTCCAAAACCTTGTTACCAGGCGCACTGCGATAGATACCCCTTGCCTTTGCTTGGGCTTTTCTCTTTCCTCATTTTAAGACATTAAACAGCTAATTCTGGTATTTCATTGCGCTCCATTTCACGGAGGTGATAGACTGTGCTATGCATGGTGACCCTCGACCTCCTGTTTCCATGTCACACATAGCTCGCACTTCTCAAGAACAAACCGCCCTTCTACTGAGGAAGAATAATGAATGTCTATGCGAGGGTCTCTGAAGGTGCAAGAACTTTGGAGGATTAGACGAAAATGCTGCAGTGCACCGAAATTTCCCACCACACCCCTGACTTTTGAAATCTTGTTTTTCTCTCCCAGGCTCTTGTCAGGATGGTGAAGCTGTTCATCGGAAACCTGCCCCGGGAGGCCACAGAGCAGGAGATTCGCTCTCTTTTCGAACAGTATGGGAAGGTGCTGGAATGTGACATCATTAAGAACTATGGCTTTGTGCACATAGAAGACAAGACGGCAGCTGAGGATGCCATACGCAACCTGCACCATTACAAGCTTCATGGGGTGAACATCAACGTGGAAGCCAGCAAGAATAAGAGCAAAGCTTCAACCAAGTTACACGTGGGTAACATCAGCCCCACTTGTACCAACCAAGAGCTTCGAGCCAAGTTTGAGGAGTATGGTCCGGTCATCGAATGTGACATCGTGAAAGATTATGCCTTCGTACACATGGAGCGGGCAGAGGATGCAGTGGAGGCCATCAGGGGCCTTGACAACACAGAGTTTCAAGGTGAACTGCTCTGGGCCTGGGTAGTAGAGCCGAGTGGGGTCTAGCTCAAGACAGGCAAGAACACAAGACTATAGAACTGGCAGGGTGGTCTCTTCCATTCTGTTTTAGCTGGAAATAATAGATTATGTTTTCCGCTCTTAAGCATAGTTTACCTCTGGGGAAGCAAACACTTCCCCTTTTCAGGTTTGCTAAGATGTTGCTCACCGACTGCATAGAATCGCAGACTGTGGGTTACTTTATCCTGCGAGATTCTTGCATTCATTCGAGTGCTGTTGGAAGTGTAATCTGCTTGGGGAAACGAGTACCTCATGAGAGAAGGGAGGATAAAGGTCTGTGGCTTACCTGCGTCTTTAGTTATGATCAGGAAGCCTTATATTTGAGGGTTTAAGTGCTTAAGATTTATATTCTTTACTGCTTTGGGTGATGGATACTGGTGGGAAAGAAGAAAAAAGACATCTAGAGGAACCCCTATATTATAAATCTGGGTGGCAAGTCGATCTGCGGGAGTATCTTTTGGTTGCTCAGATTTGTGCAATGTATTCAAGCAGAGTCAAAAAACATGCCATGGAGTGTTCTGCTCCACCTACTATTATTTAACCCTAAGAAAAAGAAATTTCTAAATATATCAGACTAAATGAGAATGATGGTCCCCCTTCTGAAGAAATTCCAGTAAAAGCATCATACTGTTTATACTGATGATAAAGGTACATATGTTGTCACTAATACCACAAGAGGTTGTCAGAAGACTCTAGAACTGTGCTAATATGGTAACTACATGTGGTTTAGTAAATTGAAATTAACTAAGATTAGATAAAATTTAAAATTCAATTTTTCAGGTGTATACCAGACACGTTTCACGCACTCAGTAGTCACGATGCCTGTGGCTACCGTGTTAATAGAGACACAGAACATTTCCATCATCATAGAACATTCTTTTGGATAGCACTGTTCTACAAGTGTTTTGGTAATAGTATCGTCTTGGACCTCATGTTCATAGCCACTTTTGCGGTTCCTAAGTCAACACCTTTTTTGCCCTGAGTGTCATTAAAGGGGTTGTTAAGAAGTACTTTTGGATCCTCTGTTAAACCTGAAAAACAGAATGAGAAAATAAATAATGGGAGAAGAGGAAAAGTTGACCAGAGAAGGGTAAGAAAGTTTGCATAGTGGAGATCAGAGCACCATCAGGTATCTCTGGCTTCATCCAGTAATGCCTTGGCCTTTAGCTGCTCTTTAAAGCATAAGGCAAAGGTTGCAGATACTTGCTACCATTAACTAGTGTGTGACCTTGAATAAGTGTTTTAACATCTCTCTGCTTCATTTTCCTCACTAGTATTGTCCCCACTTAAAGAGTTAATGATCCCTACTGTACCTCCCTCACAGGATTGTAGTGGAGCTAGAATGAATAGATGTGAAAGTGTTTTGACAGTAAAAGCGCTATATGATGACAGGTGATTGCTGTTTGCAACCATGAGTGTTTCTCTTCTGGTTAGAAAATTATTGAAAGTGATAGTGAAGCTTTCCTTATTTGCTTTTCTTACATTTGTTTTTCTTTTTCTTATTTTGGAATGTTGTTGCATTTTCAGCTTTTAAAAGTATTCTTAATTATTTTCATTTGATGGGGGAGATCATCATGATGGACAGTGGAGACTGGGGAAGGAGGGTTTTCTCCTGACAGGTAATGAGCAAAATGTAAAAGAATGTAAAGTTGGGTACAAATTGCAGAGGTATTCTAGTAATGTAATACAGAATGCCTTTGCCTTTTAAATATATTTAATACAGTTAATTCTGGAGTTCGAGACCAGCCTGGCCAACATGGTGAAATCCCATCACTTACTAAAAATACAGAAAAACTATCCAGGCGTGGTAGTGTGTGCCTGTAATCCCAGCTACTCAGGAGGCTGAGACAGGAGAATCGCTTGAACCTGGGAGGTAGAGGTTGCAGTGAACCGAGATCGTGCCACTGTACTCCAGTCTGGGCAACAGAGAGACTCCTTCTCAAAAAAGAAAAAGAAAAAAATATATATATACATATATATATTTAATACAACTGAATAAAAGGAAAAGGACAGGCCGGGCGCTGTGGCTCACGCCTGTAATCCCAGCACTTTGGGAGGCCAAGGCAGGGGGATCACAAGGTCAAGAGATCGAGACCATCCTGGCCAACAACATGGTGAAACCCCGTCTCTACTAAAATACAAAAATTAGCTGGGCGTGGTGGTGCACACTTGTAGTCCCAGCTACTTGGGAGGCTAAGCCAGCAGAATCGCTTGAACCTGGGAGGCAGAGGTTGCGGTGAGCTGAGATGGTGCCACTACACTCCAGCCTGGCGACAGAGCGAGACTCTATCTCAAAACAAAACAAAAAAAGGAAAAGGACAAAAATATGTGTAAGAAAAATCAGTTACTTGGCCTCCCAAAGTGCTACGATTACAGGCCAAACTATCTTAATGAAAGAAAAGCTACCTGAAGTTAGGGCCGGATGCAGTGACTCACGCCTGTAGTCCCAGCAGTTTGGGAGGCCGAGGTGGGCGGATCACGAGGTCAGGAGATTGAGACCATCCTGGCTAACACGGTGAAACCCCGTCTCTACTAAAAATACAAAAAAAAAAAAAAAAAATTAGCTGGGCATGGTGGCGGGTGCCTGTAGTCCCAGCTACATGGGAGGCTGAGGCAGGAGAATGGTGTGAATCCGGGAGGCGGAGCTTGCAGTGAGTTGAGATCGTGGCACTGCACTCCAGCCTCGGCGACAAAGCAAGACGCTGTCTCAAAAAAAAAAAAAAAAAGAAAAGCTACCTGAAGTTAATTAAAAAAAAAAAAGAAAAGAAAAAAATCAGTTAACTTAACTTGGGGGAGTTGGCTTAGGATGAATATGTATTTTAATAAGGCAGGTATAATTAGGAAGTGAGTATCTGAATAATGCAATGGATCTATAAGATTTTTTAAAACATCACTTCCTTAGAAAGTGCAGACACTAGGCCGGGCGCGGTGGCTCAAGCCTGTAATCCCAGCACTTTGGGAGGCCGAGACGGGCGGATCACGAGGTCAGGAGATCGAGACCATCCTGGCTAACACGGTGAAACCCCGTCTCTACTAAAAAATACAAAAAACTAGCCGGGCGAGGTGGCGGGCGTCTGTAGTCCCAGCTACTCGGGAGGCTAAGGCAGGAGAATGGCGTGAATCCGGGAGGTGGAGCTTGCTGTGAGCCGAGATCCGGCCACTGCACTCCAGCCTGGGCGACAGAGCGAGACTCCGTCTCAAAAAAAAGAATTAAAAAAAAAAAAAAAGAAAGTGCAGACACTAAAATGAATAGGAAAAGAAAAATCCTGTATTTGGTTTTCATGTTCTTAACTTGGCTCCTCTGGAGAGAGCACTCTCCTCCTAGTTATAGAGACATTTTTATAACCAGCTCTGGTTTTTTTTCTCCCAGATGACAAGAGCAAGCTTAGCATTGGATAGTAAGTTGTAGTTTTACAGAAAATGCAATCTGGATACCAGTTTGACACGTTTCAATTTAAGTTCTTTTCAGTTGTCTACCAATGAACATGGCCTCTTAAAAGGGCCATTTGAGCCCCGGTGAGGTGGCTCACGCCTGTAATCGCAGCACTCTGGGAGGCCGAGGCAGGGGGATCACCTGAGGTCAGGAGCTGGAGACTAGCATGGTCAACATGGTGAAACCCTGTCTCTACTAAAAATACAAACATGCCTGTAATCCCAGCTACTCAGGAAGCTGAGACAGGAGACTCACTTGAACCTAGAGGCGGAGGTTGCAGTGAGCCGAGACCGCGCCACCGCACTCTAGCCTGGGCAGCAGAGCAAGACTCAGTCTCAAATTAACCAACAAAAAAGTTCTTTTGAACCTTTATTTCTATATGTTAATGGCTGCCATTGAGGCTTTTTGCATTGTATGACTTCTAAAAGGAAGTAGCAGAATCTGAGTTTACCTTACTCTTTCAGGATCTGTTTCCTTTCTACAGCCAGCAGTGAACTCAACTTACTTCCTTAGCACACATGGTTGGTATTGGAAGACCTAAATAAGCTATTCCCAAATAACAATCAGGCAGCTTAATTGGGAAGAATATGTGAGAGTTCAGGTGTCTTGTTTTTTTTCCCTATATGTAAACAAGCATTAAGTCAGAATGCTACTCTGTATTAGCTACATCCCCAATATTTTCTGGATCATGGCACTTGATAGGCACTTAGAAATTAAGACCCCAGGTTTCCCACTTCTCAGCATTTTAATGCTCTTTTCTGTTACAGCTTTCAAAATAAAACACTATTATTGGGCTGGTTTTCTGGAAAATGTTGGCAACAAACTTCAGTAACTTTTGGAAGTCTCAGGAAATCTTTAAGCTTTTGGCTTGTCCAAGTGTAGTAGAGTAGAATAATTAATCTTTCATTTTTCTTTGCCCTGGTTCCTTAAGGTATAATAATAGAGAAGCATAATCTTTTTCAATTATTTTTAAAACTTTAGGGTATTTAAAGGCTAGGCTGGATGCAGTGGCTTATGCCTGTAATCCCAGCCCTTTGGGAGGCCGACGCAGGCGAATCACCTGAGCTCAGGAGTTTGAGACCAGCCTGGCCAACATGGTGAAACCTTGTCTCCACTAAAAATAGAAAAAACTAGCCAGGTGTGGTAGCGTGCACCTGCAGTCCCAGCTACTTAGGAGACTGACGCAGGAGAATTGCTTGAGCCCAGGAGGCAGAAGTTGCAGTGAGCTGAGATTGCGCCACTGCACTCCAGTCTGGGCAACAGAGCAAGATACTTGTCTCAAAAAGTAATAATAATAATTAATAAAAATAAAAGGCTAATTATAACCATTGGAAAGACTGTGGTTGTTTTGTGTTTTTTTGTGTTTCTTTTTTTTTTTGAGACAGTCTTGCTCTGTTGCTTAGGCTGGAGTGCAGTGGCACAATCTCAGCTCACTGCAGCCTCCGCCTCCCAGGTTCAAGTAATTCTTGTGCCTCAGCCTCCTAAGTAGCTGGGACTGCAGGCATGTGCCACCACGCCCAGCTAATGTTTTATATTTTTTTAGTAGAGATAGGATTTCACCATGTTGGCCAGGCTGGTCTCGAACTTCTGGCCTCAGGTGATTGGCCCACCTCGGCCTCCCAAAGTGCTGGGATTACAGGTATGAGCTACTGCACCCAGCTTGGAGAAACTGTTTGAAAATTTTTTTTTAAATCTGTCACCCCTATTACAGATTTTTTTAGTTCTAGGTTGAAAAATTGGGCCGGGCGCAGTGGCTCATGCCTGTAATCCCAGCACTTTGGGAGGCCGAGGCAAGTGGATCACGAAGTCGAGTTCAAGACCAGCCTAGCCAACATGGTGAAACCCCATCTCTGCTAAAAATACAAAAATTGCTTAAGAATCACACCAGTGGTGATGGGTGCCTGTGATCCCAGCTACTCAGGAGGCTGAGGCAGGGAATTGCTTGAACCCGGGAGGTGGAGGTTGCGGTGAGCCGAGATTGTGCCACTGCACTCCAGCCTGGGTGACAGAGCAAGACCATGTCTCAAAAAACAAACAAAAAATTGATACCTGCATCCTTTTCACAACTACACAGAGGTAGATTTTGCCACAGATAGAAACTTGAGTTCCCACCCTCTAAATAAATGCAGGAATGAAGATTGGATTTAGTTAAAAAACATCAAGGTAAAGTTGCTGGATTTTGTTTCTCCAAAAAATGGACCCAGAATCTATAAAAGTAAAGTGCAAATTTAAGGAATTTTTTTGTTAAAAATGTTACTTTTAGGTCTCTGGATTGGCTCTTTTTTAGACTGTCATGGTCACTCTGACTTCGCAATTGGAGCATAGTTTGTGTCTGTCACATAGCTTAATGTCATCATGTGTATTTGAAAGCCAAGTCATTTATAATCTTTTAGTCTAAATTATAGGGAACTCTGCATTTGAGATATAAATGGTGGCAGAAATCTGTGTTTCTGTTCAAATCATAGCATTGTGGCCCCTAACTTCGAACAATTAGGAGTATTTAAATCTCTGAAAACAATGGGATGGCAAAATGCTTTTAGATATTTAGTGCCTTTTTGGGTGTCTGCTGACTATCGGTGATAGTGGATGCTGCCTGTCTGCTAGCAGTTGGAGGTATAAAGCCTGAGCACTTTTGTTTCTGCTAGAAACTGGAGTGATAGGACTCTTTGACATTGGGCAAAATGAATTTGACTAAAGTGATATTACTGCACTAACCCACTCCCCTCTCAGGGTCAGTGCATGGCACTGTTCTGGCTGCCGTTCTGAATCGGGCTATTTCCAACAGGATGGTGGAGCACAAGGCTTCCTCTCACATAGCTGCATCCAGAACAAGGTCTGTTAAAGAGAGCAACTTGCTGATTGCAGAGGGGGGGGATTTGTTCTGAGCAGTCCTTAAGAGTAATGAGAAGCCCCTGTTCTCTGTATCTGTGCTGACTGCGTTTTCGTTCTTTTTTTTTTTTTTGAGATGGAGTCTCACACTGTTGCCCAGGCTGGAGTGCAGTGGCATGATCTCCACTCACTGCAACTTCCACCTCCTGGGTTCAAGCGATTCTCCTGCCTCAGCCTCCCTTGCATTTTCTTTTGGCTACAATTTGGAAAGCACTGACTTGATCTCCAGGAGAGTCTTGTGCAACCTGGGACTACTCTTTTTCTTTAACTGCTTTTAAAGACTTCAGATGCTTTCTTCAGTAAGGGTCCCTGGGTTTGGTGGTTCACAATCCCTGAGCAAAGATTGTTTCTTCTCTTAGCTGTTCCTCACTGCTGGTCATTTCCTGGAAGCCGAAATGGATGTGGCCCATTTGTATGTGTTCTTAAGGTCTCTAGGCAAATGCTGCATTTTTCTTTTTTTTTTTTTTTTTTTTTTTTGAGACAGAGTCTGGCTCTGTCGCCCAGGCTGGAGTGCAGTGGCCGGATCTCAGCTCACTGCAAGCTCCGCCTCCCGGGTTCCCGCCATTCTCCTGCCTCAGCCTCCCGAGTAGCTGGGACTACAGGCGCCGCCACCTCGCCCGGCTAGTTTTTTTGTATTTTTTAGTAGAGACGGGGTTTCACCATGTTAGCCAGGATGGTCTCGATCTCCTGACCTTGTGATCCGCCCGTCTCGGCCTCCCAAAGTGCTGGGATTACAGGCTTGAGCCACCGCGCCCGGCTGCATTTTTCTAACTAGTAGTTAATCCCTATAAAGAATTGTAAGTTACATGGCAGGATGAAATGCTAGTCATTTCATTACATGTCAACACACTGTCCCTAAGAAACCAGTACTGTTTTAAGATCTAATTCTTGTTGAGAGACCTTGGTCAGGTAGCTTTCCACACTAGCCTTGTGGGGGTGGGGCTGAGTTGACATCTGGAAGGTCTTATAACTCCCAGAGATACTAGAGATGAAGCAGATGACAAGCCAGGTATGGTTCGTGTGCCCATGATTGGGAGCCTTCTGGTGACATCTGCAAAAATAGGTGGAGGAAACAAGATGGACAGATGACTGATGTGGTTTTTAAGCAATAGTAAATGCTCAGGCCTTACTAGATCCTCAGTCAGTCAGTGAGAGATGGGCAAGATGCCTTCCAAATCTGACTTAACTGAGGTTTTGTTGGTTGATTTTGAAAGTATTGGTAGAATTTGAATCATTACAAGTAATAATAGTCTTAGCAGTGAGAAGTTGAAACTTTTCCAATTGTTGTGTTTAAGGGGAAAAAGGAAAGTTGTGGAGACAGAAGCAGGAGTGAGTCTGGTCTACTCCTGGCCTAAGTAGAAAGTATTGACTAGTCTCTGAAAAATCAAATTTTCTAGCTCTCATCTGTATTAAAACTTCAACTGCTGGCCAGGCACGGTGGCTCATGCCTGTAATCCCAACACTTTGGGAGGCCGAGGCAGGTGGATCACCTGAGGTCGGGAGTTTGAGACCAGCCTGAACAACATGGAGAAACCCTGTCTCTACCAAAAATACAAAATTAGCCAGGCATGGCAGTGCATGCCTCTAATCCCAGCTACTCGGGAGGCTGAGGCAGAAGAATTGCTTGAATCTGGGAGGTGGAGGTTGCACCATTGCACTCCAGCCCGGACAACAAGAGCGAAACTCCGTCTTAAAAAAAAAAAAGAAAAAATTTAAACTACTTTTTAAAGGAGGTTGCTGAAATAGGGTCACAGGTGTGTGTGTCTGTGTGTCTTATGACAATTAATTTACTTTCATTTAGGGGAGGAAAAAGAATGTCAATGAGTTAAAATAAATCTTACATCTGTTTCCTCAAGGCAAAAGAATGCATGTGCAGTTGTCCACAAGCCGGCTTCGGACTGCCCCTGGGATGGGAGACCAGAGTGGCTGCTATCGGTGTGGGAAAGAAGGGCACTGGTCCAAAGAGTGCCCAGTAGATCGTACGGGTCGTGTGGCAGACTTTACTGAGCAGTATAATGAACAATATGGAGCAGTTCGCACACCTTACACCATGGGCTATGGGGAATCCATGTATTACAATGATGCATATGGAGCACTCGACTACTATAAGCGATACCGGGTCCGCTCTTATGAGGCAGTAGCAGCAGCGGCAGCGGCTTCTGCATACAACTACGCAGAGCAGACCATGTCCCATCTGCCTCAAGTCCAAAGCACAACTGTGACCAGCCACCTCAACTCTACTTCTGTTGATCCCTACGACAGACACCTGTTGCCAAACTCTGGCGCTGCTGCCACTTCAGCTGCTATGGCTGCTGCTGCGGCCACCACTTCCTCCTACTATGGAAGGGACAGGAGCCCACTGCGTCGTGCTGCAGCCATGCTCCCCACGGTTGGAGAGGGCTACGGTTATGGGCCAGAGAGTGAGTTATCTCAGGCTTCAGCAGCTACGCGGAATTCTCTGTATGACATGGCCCGGTATGAACGGGAGCAGTATGTGGACCGAGCCCGGTACTCAGCCTTTTAAAAACTGGAGGTGAGAGATGGGTGGGAATGGTTAAAAGATTCCATTTAGTTCCCTTGAAAGAGACCCATGCTTCATAAAGGAGGCTAGAGCCACCTGTTTGCTCTCCGGACAGTATCCAAAAGGTACAAATTACATGTTAGTCTTCAGTATTTCTCTAGCTTAGGCCACAAGTTCCATTTGGCCTGTCAAGGCGTTAGTGTATGACTCCAACCAACTTGTTCCTTCTGAGAGAACAACAAATTCAATTTGATAGAACATTCTTTAATCAGTTGTAAGTATATTTGGGTTACAGAAAAACATTTGAGAGATCTAACATTTGTTACGTGCTCTCTTATATATCATCTATATGATAAAACTGAAATATTTTATTCTTTTACAGAGAAGGGAACCTCGGAGAGGTTAAGTACTTTGCCCAAAGTCATTTGGTAAATGGAAGATAGAGTCAGAATTCACACACGGGCCTGATTCCAAAACCCATGCTTGCTCTACTACAGAAGTACTGCCATGGTAAAGCTGAAAGGCACAGGTTCAGGGCTTAGTAATTAATATCACAGTGAGAATTTTAACTATTACTTTAGGCTTACAGTTTGCTAATAAAATTGCTACTTGAGGGCAGAGGCAGTGGCTCACGCCTAACACTGGGAGGCTGAGGTGGGAGGATCACTTGAGCCCAGGAGTTCAAGACCAGCCTAGGTAACATAGCAAGACCCTGTCTCTACAAAGAAAATTAAATTAGCAGGGTGTAATGGGGAGCACCTGTGATCCCAGCTACTCAGAATGCTGAGGTTGGAAGGATCAATTGAGCCCAGGAGTTGAAAGAGGCCACAGTGAGCTATGATCACACCCCTGTATTCCAGCCTGGGCAACAGAGTAAGACCCTGTCTCTCCTTTTTTTTAAAAAAAAAAAGCAAAAAAACAAACTACTTCTTGGGTCATTACCCTTTGTCAAAGGAAACTCTTCGAATATCATACCTGCATGCCAGAGGAAGTCCTATAAATTTCAAAGGTTCGCTTCTAAGACATTTACTTGAAAGTTGAATGTTTTGATCTTCTGCCCCATAGAGTCCTTATTAGTAATCTAGACTAGCATCTTGTTCTATATGGGCACTTAAGCCCTATTTCTTCATAGCCTGTTATGCTGTCATTTAGAGCTGGATGCTTCCCATTTCTTCCAGCAATTTTTGTGTTTTTTGTTGTTGAAGAGAGGAACATTTCAGGAGTTAGGTAAGTTAGATAAACTGGTAATTTTCAGATGTGTAGAAAATTGCATAGGTGGTGAAAGCCAATGCCATAGGCTCTGAAATTTTACTATTTCCTACATCAGGAAATGTGCACCAAAAGTGCTAAAATGCCAGGAATAATTTTGAGTATCTAAAGATAGATAAATCTTTTCATTTGAGTGGAAATAGCATTATGACAACTTTACATTCTCATGGTTTTTCTTGTACCTTGAAAATGAGCATCACTTGGAGCCCCAGAAGCATGGTTAAAGTGAGTTACTACTGAGTTTCTGGTGTTCCTAACTTATCCCTTTGGTATTTATGTAGAAGATAACAAAGCAGCTGTGTACAGTGGCTCGCACCTGTAGTCCCAACTATTCAGGAGGGTGAGGCTGGAGGATCCCTTGAGCCCAGGAGTGAGGGACTGCAGTTAGCCACTGCATTCCAGCCTGGACAACAGAATGGCTCCTCTCTCTCTTAAAAAAAAAAATAAAAAGCAAAGCCATAGGAATTTGCTTTTTTATGTGAATTGAGAAGCAAATGTTACGAACCTGTAGTAAGTTGTATTCCTATATGCATGTAAACAAGTCTTGAAATCTCTTGAGACCACCGTGCAGCCCAGTCTGTGTTTACGTGTGAAGCAAATGATCTTAAAATTTGTAGTTTGCCATTAATTTTTACTTTTAATGCAGCTGGATCTAGCATGAGATGGGATATGCTTCTGAAGTAAGCTGGTATAAATCTATCAGATAACCTGTTTCTCTTATGTTTCAAAGTTAAATGTTAAATTCATATATTGTAGTCTTCAAAAGGTATTGCTAGGACATTTTAAAATGAATTTTGACTGCAAGCAGTGGTTGTTCAACTAACCTCTTTTTAGTGATGACTTTTAAAGAAACTTACCTTCCAGGTGTGAACCTCAAATGGACTGAATAACCCTGAGTTGGTTGCAGTCCCAGGAGCCTGATGTTAATGAGGCTGCCAGGATGAAATACTCCAGAACTGTTGGGGATCCAAATTCGGGTCTCACCCTAGCAGAACTGATCCAAGAACGTCACAACTTTTGAAGTCGATTGGCACAGATCAAGACCAAGATTTGGCCCTTTGTCTGTAATAAGTAGAGGAACTTGGTGTGAGTTAACTTTTTTTTTCCCCCAGCCATTGGTGTCTGGAGTTCCCATCATCAATAGAAGGATTAGAGAATTTTAGGAGTGATTTCTTCTTTTGATTTGGCAAGGGAGATTTGGTCAATTAGGGGAACTACTGGAACTGTGGCTCTAACTCTGTGACAGTGTGACATGTAGGTGTGTTGGAATTGGGTGAATGACTGGCTGCTCCTTGATATCCTACCCCTCGTGACCATTTCTGAAAGCTTGTTTACTGTGAAAGATTAAAACAAAACACATTTAGAATAGTGCAGTTCGCCATATATGACATCTCAGCATCTTCTGCTTTTCCTGGACCCCAAAATTAAATTGCAGTTCTTGAAAATGTATGTATGCCCTTTGTTGCAGCAACAGTAGCCTTCTGTCACAGGGGTTATCTTGCCTAAAAGATGGATAAGAAAGATGTATTTATCACCAACATATTCTTCAGCTAGATTGCATCTTTTCCTATATAGCCATAAGTAGATTCCTATATATAGCTATTAATAGACTCCTAGGTAATTACATAGGATATGAGTTAGATCCAGTCTGACTTGGTTTTGTTTTGTTCTTTTTTTTCCCCCGTGAAATACAGGATGGGACCCAGGGCGCTTGTACTCGGAGCCAGGCTGCTCTCCAGGCATTGTGTAAGCCTCTTGTGTTGTGCTCTCTTTCAGGTAGGATAATTGCGGACTGAAACCTCAGGCTGCGGTCATATATGAGAACTTGCTCCGCGCGGTCCCCTTTGCCGGGATGTTTCCATTGCTTCATGTTTCAGTAAACAAAAGGAGTTTGTGACCAACTATGTTTTCTTTCTTAATTTAATTCTTCTAAGTTGACTTTTCTTTCCTCCTGAAACTAGTCTCTGTAGCCTTTCACTCTTCCTTACATTCTCAGCCTCTGAGCAGCCCTAGGTAAGGATTATGCTGGCATCCCCTTTTTCCTGTGCAGTGGAGCCCCTCTTATCTTGCTTTCCCTAGGAGTTGAATCCTTCTCCCTGCCTACCTGCAGCATCTCCTTTCCCTTTAAAATGACCATGTAGTGGCAAGCAGCCTTTTACTCTTCTGTTAGCTCTGGACTCTTAACATTGAAGTTACTCTTCTGAAATTGCTAGGACCATTGGGGGTTTTGTTGTTTTGTTTTGTTTTTTTATGTCCGACCTGTGATCGTGGTACAGCATTAGCTGAAATTTACCCTTGTTTTATTCCACGCCCTTTTTTTTTTTAATTTTTTGACAAATAAACGTTTCTAACACTGAAATATCTTTTTATGTTTGTGATTGTTATTTATCACCACAGTCTTTTTATTCTCTCCTAGTTCTTAAGCTACAAAGTTCAAACTAATAGATGTCAGAAATTTACATATAGAAGGAAGAATTTAAGCCCAGGTGTGGTGGCTCACACCTGTAATCTTAGCACTTGGGAGGTTTAGGTGGGCAGATCACTTAAGCCCACTGAAGTTCGAGACCAGCCTAAGCATCATGTCGAAACCCTGTCTCTACCAAAAATAAAAATTAGTTGGCCGGCTGGGCATGGTAGCTCACGCTGTAATCCCAGCACTTTGGGAGGCCGAGGTGGGTGGATCACCTGAGGTCAGGGAGACCAACATGGTGAAACCCCATCTCTACTAAAATACAAAAATTAGCTGGGCATGGTGGCAGGCGCCTGTAATCCCAGCTACTCAGGAGGCTGAGGCAGGAGAATCACTTGAACCCAGGAGGCGGAGGTTGCAGTGAGCCAAGATTGCGCCATTGCACTCCAGCCTGAGCAACAAGAGCGAAACTCCATCTCAAAAGAAACAAAAACAAAATTAGTTGGCCAGGTGCAATGGCTCACACCTGTAATCTCAGCATTTTGGGAGACCGAGGCAGGCAGATCACTTGAGGAGTTTGAGACCAGCTTGGCCAACATGACGAAACCCCGTCCCTACTAAAAATACAAAAATTAAGCAGGCATGGTGGCGAGTGCCTGTAGTCCCAGCTACCTGGGAGGCTGAGGCAGGAGAATCGCTTGAACCCAGGAGGCAGAGGTCGCAGGGAGCTGAGATTGCACCACTGTACTCCATCTCAAAAAAAAAAAATAATTAGCTGGGCATGGTGGTGCACGCCTGTAATCGCAGCTACTCAAGAGGCTGAGGTGGGAGATTCTCTTAAGCCCAGAAGGTTGAGGCTGCAGTGAGCTGTGATCGTGCCACTGCACTCCATTCTGGGCAATGGGAGACCCTGTCTCCAAAACGACAAAAAAAAGGATTTAGTGAGGTGAGTGCTGTGGCTTTAGTAATAGGTGATGGGAAGTTAGCCAGATTCTTGAGACATTGCTAAATTTGCTACAGCTGGTGGTGAGGCTACTTTTCTCTAACCAGAGCTGCTCTTAAACCAGTTTAAAGGCTAACAGATCCAGATTAGTAGTGCTAGGAATAAGCCCTGCATCAGAAAAAGGCTGAGCCAGATTCTCTCCAAGGACCTATCATGTTAACTCAATTTCACTTCATATTTTTCTGGCTCATATTAAAAAAAAAATTTTTGCTTAGTTATCACCCCTCTCCAGTGTTTCTCCTTTTTTAATTTTTAAAAAATAATTAAATTCACTTATGAGCTATTAGAAGAGGTCTCTCTTCCGAAGGTGCTTATATTCTGCTAGGATTAGGCTTTGGCTAAAATAAAATCCGAGCAGAAAAGCAAATCACATATTAATGATTAGCAGTGACATTTTGCAGTCACGTATGTCTTCTGGATCACGGACATCTTATTTATCTTTGTTTAGATCCCCATAGAACACATTTAATGATGGACTCAACCCTACTTAAGCTTTATTGTACTTTATATGGAAATGTTGATGTGTAAATTTTGACTACATGTGAAATTTTACCTACAATAATATAGCATTTACTTCACATATTTTATACTTAATCTTGACAGGTGAAGCAAAAATTTTCCCTCATTTCTCAGGGGAACAGACTGACAAATCTACAGAAGTTAACCTGTCCATGCACACATTCCAACCAGTGGTGAAGTACATAAGGCTCATGTTAGCTTCAGTATTCCCCAGGGAAGCAAGACTCTGTTTTACAAAAGAGAAAATAAGGCAAAGATGCTGGGATTTTCTTGTGATCTGCAAGGCACTATGCAGAGCCAAGAAAAAAAAATGCAGATTTTGCTGGCCTCGGCAAAATCTCTGATGGTTCTCCGTGGTAGGTTTCAACCAATTTAACATACGAAGTTTAACATATGCCAGGTGCATGGCTCACGCCTGTAATCCTAGCACTTTGGGAGGCTGAGGTGGGTGGATTTCCTGAGCTCAAGAATTGAGACCAGCCTGGGCAACATGGCGAAACCCCATCTCTACTAAAAATACAAAAAATTTAGCTGGGCATGGTGGTGTGTACCTGTAATCCCAGCTACTGGGGAGGCTGAGGCACAAGAATCGCTTGAACCCAGGAGGCAGAGGTTACAGTGAGCTGATAATGCGCCACTGCACTCCAGCCTGGGTGACAGTGAGACTCTGTCTCAAAAAAAATAAGTAAATAATAAACATATCTTGATTTCTATCTCATTGGCAGAACAAGAAAAAAAATTTTCTGGCCGGGCGCAGTGGCTCACGCCTGTAATCTTTGGGAGGCTGAGGCGGGCAGATTACGAGGTCAGGAGATCGAGACCATGCTGGCTAACACGGTGAAACCCCATCTCTACTAAAAATGCAAAAAATTATCCGGATGTGATGGCGGGCGCCTGTAGTCCCAGTTACTCAGGAGGCTGAGGCAGGAGAATGGCGTGAACCCGGGAGGTGGAGCTTGTAGTGAGCCGAGATCGCGCCACTGTACTCCAGCCCGGGCAACACAGCAAGACAACGTCTCAAAAAAAAAAATTTTTTTTGGCCGGGCGCGGTGGCTCAAGCCTGTAATCCCAGCACTTTGGGAGGCCGAGACGGGCGGATCATGAGGTCAGGAGATCGAGACCATCCTGGCTAACACGGTGAAACCCCGTCTCTACTGAAAAATACAAAAAAACTAGCCGGGCGAGGTGGCAGGCGCCTGTAGTCCCAGCTACTCGGGAGGCTGAGGCAGGAGAATGGCGTGAACCTGGGAGGCGGAGCTTGCAGTGAGCCGGGATCGCGCCACTGCACTCCAGCCTGGGCGACAGACCGAGACTCCGTCTCAAAAAAAAAAAAAAAAAAAAAATTTTTTTTTATGCAGAAGAGTTCTATATCATCACTGCCCAATAACACTTCTGGCAGTGATGGAAGTGTTCCGTATCTGTGCTATCCAATTTGTGGCTACTGTGGTAAAATGAGTTACCATATGGTTAGGTAGTAAAATAAGCTACTCATAGGTGGAGAAAAAGCCCTTTATTTTAGAAAACCTTTCACCCCAAAAGAGGACTGTTGAGTAAGACAAATGTATTTCTTTAAGATGGAGTCTCGCTCTGTCGCCCAGGCTCGAGTGCACTGGTATGATCTCGGCTCACTGTAACCTCTGCCTCCCAGGTTCAAGCAATTCTCCTGTCTCAACCTTCCCAGTAGCTGGGATTACAGTCACATGACACCATGCCTGGTGAATTTTTGTATTTTTAGTAGAGATGGAGTTTCACCACATTGGTCAGGCTGGTCTTGAACACCTGACCTCAGGTGGTCTGCCTGCCTCGGCCTCCCAAAATGCTGGGATTACAGGCATGAGCCACTGCACCCGGCCAATGTTTTTATTTCTAAACCTTACTTCTCATATGAGAAATTACATATTGTGAATACAAAATTCCTTTAGTTCACCAAGACCAAGTTTCTCACTATAGACCACTTCAGAGTCCCATGAGGCCTCTCAACACTAAAAGCTCCTGAATTCATTTATCAGCTGTTTGAATTCCTACTGTGAGCTAGGATGTGGGAACATGGTGATGAATGAGGCATATGTGGTTTCTGTAGCCTCAGATCTACCCCTTCCTCAGGTTTCCAGATACATAGTGAAGCTGGTATGGCACAGAAAGACAGTAGACCCTCAGGGTACTCAATGCACTGTTAGGAACTTGTCCTAAGGGCAGAAAAAGGTCAGCTGCCTGAAAGATGGACCAGGAAAGGGAAGCAACTTGCCCCAGATTGGTTTCATAGCTTGTCGGGATTTTGCTTACAAACCTGGTCCTCAGGAAGTCACCTGGCCTAGGAGATTCGGGAAAAGGAAGGAGGGGAGAAGTAAATATTCCTGGGAAGAGCTGTCAGTTTGTTGGAAGATCAATCTCATCTTTCTTCAGACCAGAGCTAGGCTCTACTGCTGAGGAGAAATGAAATGCAGGAAATGATAGAATCAGCTCCAGGACTTGTGGGGGAAGAGTGAAAAATCTGACAAGATGAATTCAATCTGAAGTGCCTTAGGTTTGCAGGGCCTTTGAGAATCCAGGCCAAATTCAAACTGCGTATCTGTCACCTCTGCAAATCCACAAGAACCCAATGAGGTAGCATCCTGGCTCTCCCAGCAATTAAGCAACTGAGGTTAAGAAAGTTTAGGCTGGGCGCAGTGGTCTACCTACGCCTGTAATCCCAGCACTTTGGGAGGTCGAGGCGGGTGGATCACGAGGTCAGGAGTTCGAGACCAGCCTGACCAACATGGTGAAACCATGTCTCTACTAAAAATACAAAAATTAGCCGGGCGTGATGGCACGCACCTGTAATCCCAGCTACTCAGGAGGCCGAGGCAGAGAATCGCTTGAATCCGGGAGGTGGAGGTTGCAGTGAGCCGAGATCGTGCCACTGCACTTCAGCCTGGGCGACAGAGCGAGACTCCGTCTAAAACAAAAAAGAAATTAGTGGCCCGGTGCGGTGGCTCACGCCTGTAATCCCAGCACTTTGGGAGGCCAAGGCAGGAAGATCACCTGAGGTCAGGAGTTCGAGACCAGCCTGGATAACATGGCAAAACCCTGTCTCTACTAAAAATACAAAAAAATTAGGCAGGAGCCTGTAATTCTACCTATTCGGTAGGCTGAAGTACGAGAATCACTTCAACCTGGGAGGCGGAGGTTGTAGTGAGCCAAGATCCTGCCACTGCACTCCAGCCTGGCTGACAGAGCAAGACTCCGTCTCAAAAAAAAAAAAAAAAAAAAAAAAAAGACTCCATCTCAAAAAGAAAAAAAAAGAAAAAGAATTTGTGACAAGTACCACAAATTACACAAACTAGGTCCAATGGCAGGGAATAATGGGAGGACATATCTACTAAGCTACAGGTGGTTTAGGAGGGCATTCCGATACTTGATCCTGAAGCTAAGACCTGAGGATAAGTTAGCTCTAAAGCAGTAAAGAGAAAGGTCCTTCCAGATTTAATTAAAACAAATAAACCAAAAAAAAAAAACGGCCCTGAGGCAGGAAAGAGCTCAGTGTATACAACGATCTGAAAGGAGAGTCAGTGTGGTCAGAAAAGGACAGATAAATAGGGAAAAGGGCCTGAGATAATAGAGTGTGACAGAGGCAAGGCACGATCAAACTAAGGGATTGGGCATTTTACTTTAGATAAAATTGGAAGTTGCTGAAAGGTTCTAAGTAAGGAACATCTGATTTACATTTCACAAGATCATTCTGGCTACTAAATGGAAAATACTTTGAAGACACAAGGATAAGGAAAAGACAGACCTGGAGGTCACTGTAGTCATCTTGGTGGGAGAGGATAGCATGGTCTAGACTACGGCTGTGGCAAAGACAGAGAAAAGAGGTAACATGTGATATAAACATGGTGAACAGCTGCTAATGGTTGGGGAGGGGGTAAGAATGACTACCAGGAATCTGGCTGGAAGAGAAGGGGACAAGGAAGACTGAAGGAGAAATGATTTTAGAGTAGGAAGTCTCCAGAGCTCTATCTCAGATGTACCAAGTTGAAGGTGTATTAAGAGAACCAGCCAGGCACAGTAGCTCATGCTTGTAATCCCAGCATGTTGGGAGGCCAAGGCAGGAGGAACCCGAGGTCAGTAGTTCGAGACTAGCCTGGCCAATATGGTGAAATCCCATCTGTACTAAAAATACAAAAATTAGCCAGGTGTAGTGGCACACGCCTGTAGTCCCAGCTACTCAGGAGACTGAGGCAGAAGAATCGCTTGAACCCGGGAGGCGGAGGTTGCAGTGAGCCGAGATCACGTCACTGCACTCCAGCCTGGGCAACAGAGTGAGACTCCATCTCAAAAAAAAAAAAAAAAGAGAACCAAGAAGAAATGTCAACTAGGTCTCCAGATCCCTGAATCTTGAGCACAGAAGAGAGGTTTTGAACTGGAGATATCAAGAGTCTTTAGCACCTGGATCAGTGTTAATAACAGAAATACAATGTGAGCCACAAATGCAAACCACATAGGGAAATGAAACAGGTGAAATTAAGTTGTATTAATTTTATTTTCCCCAGATAGTCTAGTGGTTAGGAAAAAAACAAAAACAATTTTAATATATTTTTACCCAATATATGCAAAAAAATTATCAGTCCAACATATAATGAGCATTAAAAAATGAATATATTCTTTCTCTTTTTTTTTTTTTTTTTTTGAGACGGAGTCTCGCACTGTCGCCCAGGCTGGAGTGCAGTGGCGCGATCTCGGCTCACTGCAAGCTCCGCCTCCCGGGTTCACGCCGTTCTCCTGCCTCAGCCTCCTGAGTAGCTGGGACTACAGGCGCCCGCCACCGCGCCCGGCTAATTTTTTGTATTTTTAGTAGAGACAGGGTTTCACTGTGGTCTCGATCTCCTGACCTTGTGATCCACCCGCCTCGGCCTCCCAAAGTGCTGGGATTACAGGCGTGAGCCACCGCGCCCGGCCATTCTTTCTCATATTATTTTTTTTGAGAGACAGACTCTTGCTCTGTCGCCCAGGCTAGAGTACAGTGGCCCAATCTTGGCTCACTAGATCCTCCGCCTCCCGGGTTCAAGCGATTCTCCTGTCTCAGCCTCCCAAGTAGCTGGGATTACAGGCACATGCCACCACACCTGGCTAATTTTTGTATTTTTAGTAGAGATGGGGTTTCACCATCTTGACCAGGCTGGTCTCAAACTTCTGACATCAAGTGATCTGCCTGCCTTGGCCTCCCAAAGTGCTGGGATTACAGGTATGAGCCACAGCACCTGGCTTATCATATTAATTTTTTAAATCCCATAGGTATTTGGTACTCACAACACTGTATATGGCTCTGGCTACCACACTGAACAGCACAACTCCAGATGGTATACAAAGCCAAAGCAATGAATGAAGTCTTAAAGAGGATTTCAAACTTGGCACTACTGATGTTTAGCCACATCCCTGGGGGGAGAATCCCCCCAAATTGTGACAATTAACAATGATTTCAGGGAATCTCTGAGCCTATTCTAGTTGCCCATTTAAAACAAACAAACAAAAAAAAAGTCAGCTTAGGTCAGGCACAGTGGCTTACGTCTGTAATCCCAGCACTATGGGAGGCCAAGGCACGTGGATCACCTGAAGTCGGGAGTTCAAGACCAACCTGACCACCACCGAGAAACCCCATCTCTACTAAAAATACAAAATTAGACAGGCGTGGTGGTGCGTGCCTGTAATGCCAGCTACTAGGGAGGCTGAGGCAGGAGAATCGCTTGAATCCAGGAGGCAGAGGTTGCACTGAGCCAGGATCGTGCCACTGCATTGCAGCCTGGGCAACAAATGCAAAACTCCATCTCAAAAAAAAAAAAAAAATTTAAAAAAGGGTCAGGCTAGCTGGCTCACACCTGTAATCCCAGCACTTTGGGAGGCTGAGGCAGGCAAATGGCTAGAGCTCAGTTCAAGACCAGCTTGGGCAACATGGCAAAACCATGACTACAAAAAAATACAGAAATAAGTTAGGCATGCTGGCATGCGCCTGTGGTCCCAGCTACTTGGGAGACTGAGATGGGAGAATTGCTTGAGCCCGGGAGGAGGCAGAGGTTGAACACCGCACTCCAGTTTGGGTGACACAGGAAGACCCTGTCTTAAGAAAAAGGTGCGGCAGGGGGCAGGTGAGGTGGTTCATGCCTATTTGTTTTGTTTTTGTTTTAGATGGAATCTTGCTCTGTAGCCCAGGCTAGAGTGCAGTGGCGCTATCTCGTCTCACTGCAACCTCCACCTCCTGGGTTCAAGCGATTCTCCTGCCTCAGCCTCCCAAGTAGCTGGGACTACAGGTGCACACGATGACAACTGGCTAATATTTATATTTTTAGTAGAGATGGGGTTTCATCACATTGGCCAGGCTGCTCTCAAGCTCCTGACCTCAAGTGATCCGCCCCCCTCAGCCTCCCAAAGTGCTGGGATTACAAGTGTGAGCCACTGCACCTGGCCTAATCTTAGTACTTTGGAAGGCTGAGGCAGGAGTATAGTTTGAGCCAGGAGTTCCTAACCAGCCTCGGCAACATAGGGAGACCCCATCTCTACCAAAAGATAAAAATAAAAAATAAATTAGCCAGGTGCAATGGTGCATACCTGTGTAGTTCCAGCTTCTTGGGAGGTTGAGATGGAAGGACTGCTTCAGCTCAGAAGGTCGAGGCTGCATTGAGCCATGCTTATACTACTGTATTCCAGCCTAGGCAACAGAGCAAGACCGCACCTAAAAAAAAAAAAAAAAAAAAGACTAAAAAATTGATCAGGGCCTGAGGATTAACTACAAAGGGGAACAAGGGCTTTTTGGCTGACAAAAATGTTCTGTATTTTGATTGCAGCGATGGGAACATTGTAACCATCAGTTATCAAAAGTACATTGTCAGACTGGGCACAGTGGCTCACGACTGTACCTGTAATCCCAGCACTTTGGGCGGCCAAGGTGGTGGATCGCCTGAGGTCAGCAGTTTGAGACCAGCCTGGCCAACATGGTGAAACTCTGTCTCTATTAAAAATATAAAAATTAGCCGGGCGTGGTGGCATGCATCTACAATCCCAGTTACTCAAAAGGCTGAGGCACGAAAATCGCTTGAGCCCAGGAGGTGGAGACTGCAGTGAGCAGAGATCATGCCAGTACACTCCAGCCTGGGCAATAGAGTGGGACACCATCTTTTTAAAAAAAAAAAAAAAAAAGCCCCCCCGCCCCCCCCCACAAAGCACATTGTCACAATGTTTCAAATTGTTTTCAAAACTGGTGTATTTTATTGTTTGAAAAGAATACTTCAGGCCTGGCATGGTGGCTCACACCTGTAACCTCAGCCCTTTGGGAGGCCAAGGTGAGATCAACCGAGGTTGGGAGTTCGAGACCAGCCTGACCGACATGGAGAATCCCCGTCTCTACTAAAAAAATGCCAAATTAGGCTGGACGCAGTGGCTCACACCTGTTATCCCAGCACTTTGGGAGGCCAAGGCGGGTGGATCACAAGGTCAGGAGATCGAGACCATCCTAACACAGTGAAACCCCGTTTCTACTAAAAATACAAAAACAAAATTAGCCGGGAGTGGTGGCAGGCGCCTGTAGTCCCAGCTACTCGGGAGGCTGAGGCAGGAGAATGGCATGAACCCAAGAGCCGGAGCTTGCAGTGAGCTGAGATTGAGCCACTGCACTCCAGCCTGGGCAACAGAGCAAGACTCCGCCTAAAAATATATATATATATAAAATTAGTCGGGCATTGTAGTGGGCACCTGTAATCCCAGCTACTCGGGAGGAAGGAGAATCACTTGAACCCAGGAGGCAGAGGGTGTGGTGAGCTGAGATCACATCATTGCACTCCAGCCTGGACAACAAAAGTAAAACTCCATCCCAAAAAAAAAAAAAAAAGAATACTTCAGGGCCGTCTCTTCCTGGTTCTTCCCAGAGTCAGGAAAACCTGGATTGAAAGAGTGGTTTAAAAAAAAAAAAAAAAAAAAAACTCTGAAGAGCCGATTTTTGTAAAAAGTAAATCACATTATGACACTGCTTAAAAACCCCACAAGACTAGTTTACTCAGAATGAAGGCCAGAAAGGCCATAGATTAACTACTAGATCTGCTAACTACCTGACCTCTTCTGCTCCTCTCCCCCCTCACTCACTCTTGCCACTGGCCTCCTGTTAGAACACTTCCACCTTGAGACCCTTGCTCAAGATATTCTCTCTACCTGGAGTACTTTTCCCCCAGATACCTGGTGCTTACATCTAATTCAACTCATTGCTCAAATCTCACTTTTAGAGGCCCAAGCCGGGCGCAGTGGCTCATTCCTATAATCCCAGCACTTTGGGAGGCCGAGGCAGGTGGATCACCTGAGGTCAGGAGTTCGAAATCAGCAGGGTCAGTATGGTGAAACACCATCGCTACTAAAATACAAAAATTAGCCAGGCATGGTGGTGCATGACTATAATCCCAGCTACTGAGGAGGCTGAGGCAGAAGAATTGCTAGAACCTGGGAGGCAGAGGTTGCAGTGAGCCAAGATCACGCCATTGCATTCCAGCCTGGGTGACAAGAGCAAAACTCCACCTCAAAAAAAAAAAAAGGAAAGAAATATAATTCTATTTTTTAAAAATTATAAAATTTTTTAAATACACAGGCCTGGCCCCCTATTTATCACAGCAATCTGCACACACATATGCTGCACTAGCTCTCCCAATCCTCGCTACTCAACTTTAACCTTTTTAATACAAAGGTCTTACGTCCTAACACATAATTTAGTTATTTACTATGTTCATTACTTGTCTTGGACTAGAATGTAAGTTTTAGACGTTGGAGCTTCCACTAGTTTAGGTCACGAAGATGACATGGAGGAGAAATTACCACACAACCATTAGGGACATGTAGCAGAAACAAGGAACAATCTTTTAAACAGAAAAGTGGGCCGGGCACAGTGGCTCATGCCTGAAATCCCAGCACTTTGGGAAGCCAAGGCAGGTCAATCACCTGAATTCAGGAGTTTGAGACCAGCCTGGTCAACATGGCAAAACCCCGACTCTACAAAAAATAAAAAAGATTAGCCAGGCGTGGGGATGCACACGTGTAGTCCCAGCTATTTGGGAGGCTGAGGCAGGAGAATCACTTGAACCCAGGAAGTAGGGGTTGCAGGAGGCTGCGATCGCGCCACTGGACTCCAGCCTGAGTGACAGAGCAACACTGTCTCAAAAAAAAAAAAAGCAACCTGTAAAGAATTGAGGTAAGGAACACAAGGTAAGAAGTTCAAGAAATTAGGCTGGGCACAGTGGCTCATGCCTGTAATCCCAGCACTTTAGGAGACCGAGCCGATCCACCTCAGGGTGGATCACCTGAGGTCAGGAGTTCAAGACCAGCCTGACCAATATGATGAAACCCCATCTCTACTAAAAATACAAAAATTAGCCAGATGTGATTGCATGTGCCTGTAATCCCAGCTACCCAGGAGACTGAGACAGGAGAATCACTTGAATACAGGTGGCAGAGTTTGCAGGGAGCCAAGATCGCACCATTGCACTCCAGCCTGGGCAGTGAGAACAAAACTCTGTCTCAAAAAAAGAAGTTAAAGAAATTAACAGGTTGGCATTTTGGAATGGAATGTCTCCAAAACAAAACAACAAAGACTCTTCCACATTAGTTGGTGTTTAAGAATGATGTGCCAGCTGGCCATGGTGGCTCATGCCTATAACCCCAGCTACTCAGGAGGTTGAAGTGAGAGGACACTTGAGCCCAGAAGTTCACAGCCCCAGTGAACCATGATTGCAACACTGCCCTCCAGCCTGAGCAACAGTGAGATCTTGTCTCAAAACAAGAGAAAACAAAACAAAGTAAGAATACTGTACCACTGATATGATTTATCCATTCTCCCTAAGTGATGGGGGAAAACACTGCCAAACCCCATTTCTTTCTTTTTCTTTTTTTTTTTTGAGACAGTATCTTGCTCTGTTGCCCAGGCTGGAGTGCAGTGGCACGATCATGGCTCACTGCAGCCTCAATGTCCCGGGCTGAAACAACCCTCCTACCTCAAACTCGAGAGTAGCTGGAACTACAGGTACACAGCACCATGCTCAGCTATTTTTAAATATTTTTTGTAGAGACAGAGTTTTGCCATATTACCCAGGCTTGCCAGTCCAATTTCTTATCTTAAGGATGTCCAGCAGTAAAACCTAAAGGAAACTTGTTAAAGAAATCATCTTGAGATCAAAAGACTTGGCTGATGCCCAAGTATTTCTTCTTCTTCTTGTTGAGACAGGGTCTTGCTCTATCACCCAGGCTGGAGTGCAGTGGTGTGATCTCAGCTCACTGCAACCTCCACCTCCTGGGTTCAAATGATTCTCCTGCTTCAGCCTCCCGAGTAGATGGAATTACAGGTGCCCAAAAGCCTAATTTTTTTTTTTTTTAAAGCTAAGTGCTAAAGATATAAAAAGACAAAAAGGAAATACAAACGACTCTTAAAAATATAAAGGGCTGCCAGGCGCGGTGCTCACGCCTGTAATCCTAGCACTTTGGGAGGCTGAGGCGGGCAGATCACCTGAGGTCGGGAGACCAGCCTGACCAACATGGAGAAACCCCATCTCTACTAAAAATACAAAATTAGCCAGGTGTGGTGGCACATGCCTATATTCCCAGCTAATCAGGAGTCTGAGGCAAGAGAATCACTTAAACCCATACCATTGCACTCCAGCCTGGGCAACAAGAGCAAAACTCCAGGACTGGTGTGGTGGGTCACACCTATAATCCCAGCACTTTGGGAGGCCGAGGTAGGTGGATCACGAGGTCAGCAGTTCGAGACCAGCCTGGCCAACATGGTGAAACCCCATCTCTACTAAAAACGCAAAAAATACAAAAATTAGCTGGGTGTGGTGGCGCGTGCCTATAATCCTAGCTACTCAGGAGGCTGAGGCAGCAGAACTGCTTGAACCGGGACCCGGGAGGCGGAGGTTGCAGTGAGCCGCGATCACACAGTGGCTTGAGCCTGTAATACCAACACTTTGGGAGGCCAAGTCAGGAGGAACACTTGAGGGCAGGAGTTTGAGGACCAGCCTGGGCAACATGGCAAGACCCTGTCTCTACAAAAAATTAAAACCTCACTCATTACAAAAATAGACACTAATTATAAATACAGTAAGACAGCTATGGTCTGAATATTTGTGTCACCCCCCTTCTCCCCATTAATGTTGAAATACCCCCACAAGGTAATCGTTTTAGGTGAAGCCTTTCACATCTAACTGGTGGGAATATACATTGTAATGACTTGAGGACAATTTGACACACAGCAAAATATAAACTGCCCATCAATATCTAGGAATGTAGCTTATTAAAATACCTGCACTCATACCAAATAACCATTTTTTATCTAATACAAAATGTCACTAACTTTCAGGTACAACTTTTTTTTTTTTTTTTGGAAGACAGAGTCTCGCTCTGTCGTGCAGGCTGGAGTGCAGTGGTGCTATCTCGGCTCACTACAAGTTCCGCCTCCCAGGTTCACGCCATTCTCCTGCCTCAGCCTCCGGAGTAGCTGGAACTACAGGCACAAGCAACCACGCCCAGCTAATTTTTTGTATTTTCAGTAGAGACAGGGTTTCACCATGTTAGCCAGGATGGTCTCGATCTCCTGACCTCGTGATCCGCCCGCCTCAGCTTCCCAATGCTGGGATTACAGGTGTGAGCCACTGCACCTGGCCTCGGTACAACATTATTTTATACACTACTAAAACACTGCCAGTCAGACGTAGTGGCTCACGCCTGTAATCCCAGCACTTTGGGAGGCTGAGGTGGGCGAATCGCTTGAGCTGAGGAGTTTAAGACCAGCCACTCAACATGGCGAAACCCCATCTCTACAAAAAAAAAAAAAATACAAAAACAATTAGCCGGGCGTAGTGGTGTGCACTTGTAGTCCCAGCTATTCAGGAGGCTGAGGTGGGAGGATCACTTGAGCCCAGGAGGCGGAGGTTATAAAGTGAGATCATGCCACTGCATTCCTGCCTGGGTAATAGAGCAAGACTCTGTCTCAAAAAAAAAAAAAAAAAAAAAAATTAAACACTGCCAATTGAACTATGAGACATATGGATAAGCAAGACACAAATTTCAGACACATCAAAAAAAAAACATTATGTCTAAGAATTGTTTAAATATAACCTTATCCTTTTTGTTTTAAAAAAAAACTATACTTATGGGCACTTTTTTTTTTTTTTTTTTTTTTTTTTTTTGAGACAGTCTCACTCTGTCACCTAGGTTGGAGTGCAGTGGTGCAATCTTGGCTCACTGCAACCTCCACCTCCCAGGTTCAAGCGATTCTCCTGCCTCAGCCTCCTGAGTAGCTGGGATTACAAGTGTGGGCTACCACGCCCAGCAAAATTTTAAAGAAGTAAAAAGAAGGCTGGGCGCAGTGGCTCACGCCTATAATCCCAGTACTTTTGGGAGGCCGAGGCGGGCAGATCACAAGGTCAGAAGTTCAAGACCAGCCTGACCAACATGGTGAAACCTTGTCTCTACTAAAACTACAAAAAAAAATTTAGCTAGGCATGGTGGTATGCACCTGTAATCCTAGCTACTCAGGAGGTTGAGGGAGGAGAATCGCTTGAACCCGGGAGGCAGACACTGTAGTGAGCCGAGATGGCGCCACTGGACTCCAGCCTGGGCGACAGAGTGAGACTCCATCTCAAAAAATAAAAAAACAAATTATCTGTAGGCGGGGCACAGTGGCTCACACCTGTAATCCCAGCACTTTGGGAGGCTAAGGCAGGAGGATCGCTTAAGCCCAGGAGTTCAAGACCAGGCTGGGCTACAGGGGAAAACCTTGTCTCTTTAAAAAAAAAAAAAAAAAAAAAATCAATCAAAACTGAGCTGGGCGTGGTGGTGCATGCCTGTGGTCCCAGCTACTCAGGAGGTTGAGGCGAGAGGATAGCTTCAGCCTGGGAGGTCAAGGTTGCAGTGAGACATGTTTGCACCACAGCACTCCAGCCTAGAGAACAAAGTGAGACCTTGTCTCAAAAATAAAATTTTTAAAAAAGTTAATAGGGCTTGGTGGCATACGCCTGTAGTCCTAAATACTTGGGAGGCTGAGACTGGAGGATCATTTGGGCCTCGGAGCTATGGCTGCAGTGAGATATAACACCATGGCACTCTAGCCTGGATGACAGAGCAAGACCCTGTCTCTAAAATAAGTAATATTTTTAGAGAGAGTCTTGCTGTTGTCCACGCTGGGCTTGCACTCCTGGGCTGCTCAAGCAATCCCTGCACCTCGGCCTGCCAAGTACCTGAGACAACAGGTGCATGCCACTGTGCCCGCTTATTTTTTGCCTTTTTAATTGAGGCATGTATTCAAAGTGTGATTCCCTATCCTGGGAGACAGAGCAGGACTCTGTCACAAAAAAAAAAAGAAAAAGAAAAAAAGAGAGAGAAAAAAGAAAACCCATGTATAATTTTTTATTTCCCAAAACATAGTAGCCTGTTGTTGCCTGGAAGCCTTACAGGTCATAAGTCAATTAACATATTTCATGTGTTACATGTATACTGTATTCTTACAATAAAAGCTAAACAAAAGGCTGGGCGCGGTGGGTCACACCTATAATCCTAACACTTTGGGAGGCTGAGGTGGGTGGATCACCTGAGGTCAAGAGTTCGAGAACAGCCTGACCAATATGGTGAAACCCTGTCTCTACTAAAAATACAAAAGTTACCTGGGCATGGTTGGCGTGTGTCTACAGTTCCAGCTACTCAGAAGGCTGAGACAGGAGATTTGCTTGGACCCAAGAGGCAGAGGTTGCAGTGAGCCGAGATCCCATCACAGCACTCCAGCCTGGGTGACAGAGCAAGACTCCCTCTCAAAAAAAAAAAAAAAAAAATTAAGAAGTGAATCATCATAAAGGTGTTCATCCCGATAGTATTTATGTTGAATAGGCTGAGGAAAAGTAGGAGGAGGGGTTGGTCTGGCTGTCTCAGGGCAGCAGAGGCAGAAGAAAATCCATCTATAAGTCCATGTATAAGTGAAACTGCACAACAGTTCAAACCCTTGTTGTTCAATGGTCAACTGTACAAAGGAAGCCCCAAACTCGGTTAGGTGTCAATCTTCCTTACACTGTGAAACTCAGAAGTCCCATCTTGTCGCATATCTGAATACAAACAATTCTGATGTTGGATAGAGGAACTCAAAGAAATCAGCAGGCACACACAACCCTCAATGGAAGCACCAGCCCCCAGTGGACAGAGTACTCAACCTCCCTGTTAGCTGTGACAAAACAAAAATGAAAGCAGTAATAAAATGCTCAATTCACTCATCACTATCCAAGTACTTTCTCCTTTGGTGTCATGTCTCCTTAAGGGGACAGGAAGAACCATCCCTGTTTTGGTGGGGGTGGGGGTGGGCGGGTATATGTTTCAGACAGGTCAGGTCTCACTACGTTGGCCAGGCTGGCCTTGGAACTCCTGCGCTCAATCTTTGCACCTCAGCCTCCCTAGTAGCTGAGACTACAGACAGGCACCACCAGGCCCGAAACCATCCCAATTTTGTATCTCAAGGGTGCTATTTACCTGCCATAAAGTAACACAAGTCCCTATTCCTGTCAGATTTGCATCTGATGAGAAGCTGGAAGGTTCACTCATGTTAAGCCATCATAATCTGGCTTGACAAAATAGAGTTGTTAGCATGAAAAAACTTAATAATGCAAGAACATGGTTTAACAAAGCAAATATTAAGGCTTCAAAAAGTCCCCTGCCCCACCTTCCCCAGAAGCCAACTGCTTTTGCCTTTTTAGCTGTTCTTTACCTTTATTTCTGAATAAGATGTTCATAATCCATTTGCCACTTTTAAAAATTTCCTTTTGGCTGGGCGTGATGGCTCATGCCTGTAATCCCAGCACTTTGGGAGGCCAAGGTGGGCAGATCACGAGGTCAGGAGATCGAGACCATCCTGGCTAACATGGTGAAACCTCATCTCTACTAAAATACAAAAAAATTAGCCAGGCGTGGTGGAGGGCGCCTGTAGTCCCAGCTACTCAGGAGGCTGAGGCAGGAGAATGGCATGAACCTGGGAGGTGGAGCTTGCAGTAAGCCGAGATCGCACCACTGTGCTCCGGCCTGGGCGACCAAAAAAAAAAAAATTCCTCATTTCTATGAGTTTTGCTCTTACACATATTACCCACCCATCCCCACTTCATCAGATTATTATTTTATTACAATATTCAGAGCTACAACAATCGTAACTAGGTAAATATCACATACAGTTAAATCCTGCTATGGTTTGAGTGTTTATGTCCCCCGAAAATTCATGTTAAAATCTGAATCCCCAAGGTGAAAAGTATTAGGTACACCTTTGAGAGGTGATTACACCACAGAACAAAGCTCTCATCAGTGGGATTTGTGCCCTTATGTAGAAGAAACCCCAGAGAAATCCCTCACCCTTCCTGCCTTGCAAATTCAAGACAGGATCCAGGCACCAAGTCTGCCACAGCCTTGATCTTGGCCTTCCCAAGCTCCAAAACGCTGAGAAATAAAATTCTGTTGTGTATAAGCCATCCAGTTTATGGTCTGTTGTTACAGTAGCTCAAACGGAGTAAGAAAATCCTCATGTTGGCCGGGCGCGGTGGCTCACGCCTGTAATCCCAGCACTTCGGGGGGCCAAGGGGGGCGGATCATGAGGTCAGGAGATTGAGACCATCCTGGCTAACACAGTGAAACCCCATCTCTACTAAAAAAATACAAAACTCAGCCGGGCGTGGTGGCGGGCGCCTGTAGTCCCAGCTACTCAGGAGGCTGAGGCAGGAGAATGGATGGCATGAACCCAAGAGGCGGAGCTTGCAGTGAGCCGAGATCGCGCCACTGCACTCCAGCCTGGGTGACAGAGCAAGACTCCATCTCAAAAAAGAAAATCCTCATGTTATAATACTTCACAAGTTTTTGTTTATTCTAGTTAATATTTACCTTAATTTTTTCATTTTCTCTGTACTTCATCAGTAATTCAGCTCTAAACTCTCCAAGTAAGGCAAAAATTTCCTCCGTATATTCTAATACAGTTTTTTGTCTGAGACATCCCCTCTTAGAAGTATACTTTCTCTTGCTTCAACCTGGACTACTGTTCTCCAAATCCACTGCAGAAAGGGAGTCCTGGGACTTCCCATCACCATCATCCTGGGAATTCCTTTTACCTCAGAATGAGATGATGTATAAGAACACAAAACTACTGAGATCAAACTGACCTGGGTAATTTGAAACAGCACTTAGTACCAGTGCCAATGATCTCTCACTACTGCATCCCCCTGAGGCTACTTTAAGTACTGATGTGTAGCTCTAGGGTAAAGAGCCTGGTTTAATTTAGCATTCACCCAAAACCCCAATTTTGAGGATGCCTCGAAAACTTTTGAGACAGGGTCCCACTCTGTCACCCAGGATGGAGTCCAGTGATACCATCTCTGTTCACTGTAACCTCTATCCCTGGCATCGAGCAATCCTCCCATCTCAGCCTCCTGAGTAGCTGGAACTACAGGCGTGAGTCACCATGACCAGCTCATTTTTAAATTTTTATTATTATTATTGAGTCTCACTCTGTCGCCCAGGCTGGAGTGCAGTGGCTGGATCTCAGCTCACCGCAAGCTCCGCCTCCCGGGTTTACGCCATTCTCCTGCCTCAGCTCCCGAGTAGCTGGGACTACAGGCGCCCGCCACCTCGTCTGGCTAGTTTTTTGTATTTTTTAGTAGAGACGGGGTTTCACCGTGTTAGCCAGGATGGTCTCGATCTCCTGACCTTGTGATCCGCCCGTCTCGGCCTCCCAAAGTGCTGGAACTACCGGCTTGAGCCACCGCGCCTGGCCTATTATTATTATTTTAAAGACATACTTTCACTCTCATTGCCCAGGGTGGAGTTCAATGGCGCTATCTCAGCTCCCTGCAACCTCTGCCTCCCGGGTTCAAGTGATTCTCCTGCCCTCAGCCTCCTGAGTAGCTGGGATTACAGGCGCCCACCACCATGACTGGCTAATTTTTTGTGTTTTTAGTAGAGATGGGGTTTCTCCATGTTGGACAGGCTGGTCTTGAACTCCCAACCTCAGGCGATCTGCTGCCTTGACCTCCCAAAGTGCTGGGATTACAGGTGTCAAGCCATCATTCCTGGCCGGAAAACTTTTAAGGCAAAGTTAACAGGGTTAACATCAAGTTAAACTCCAAGATCACCCTGAAAACTCTGCCCTGCATGGTCCTTTGACTCACGCAGAACCAGGCCAGGCCACATGTCATCAATACAAAATAGTATGACCATTCCCACCCCAACCTGACTTCCAAGGACATAACAATTAATTGTACACCCAAGACCCAGACAAGCAGCAGCTTGTGGAGGCACAGTGAGGACAGGCACAATGCCCTATTGATCTTTGTATTCACCACATGCTAACCTAATTGCAGGTAATCAGGGAGTACCTAGCGAAATAGAAATCCAGCTAGACATTTACTAGACAGAATGAACAGTGAAATGCTATGGGGGAAAAATCAGTTTATTAAAGCATTACTCTTGAAAAACAACATTTTGGCCAGGCGCAGTGGCTCACATATAATCTCCGCAAAAACTTTAGGAGGCCAAGGCAGGAGGATGCCTTGAGCTCAGGAGATCAGAGTTACAGTGAGCTATGATCATGCCACCGCACTGCAGCTTGGGTGTCTAAAAAACAAAAAGAGCTAGATGGCTAAACAAAAAGCAAGAAAAAGTACTTATTACTCCTGAGGTAAGGAGTGGCAGCATAACCTTGTCAATTACAAAGAACCAACTACATGGCTTCAACTCAAAGATACACTTGACTGGACGCATAAAGAAAACTTCGTAATACATCGATGTTGAAAATCAGTGAATTATAGTCAATCTTTCCAAATCACCTCTTAAAAATAATTCATCTTGCTCTGTCACCTGGGCTGGAGTATAGTGACACAATCAGCTCACCACAGCCTGAAACTCCTGGGCTCAAACTATCCTCCCGCTTCAGCCTCTCTTAGTAGCTGGAACTTCAGCTGCATATCCACCACACAGAGCCAATTTTAAAATTGTCTTAGAAACGGGATCCTGCTATGTTGCCTAGGCTGCCATTGTTCTTGATAAAGTTTTTCCTCTCAACAAGTCAATAGTTTAAGGCTGAGTGTGGTGGCTCATGCCTGTAATTCCAGCACTTTAGGAGGCAGGCGAATCACTTGAGTCTGGGAGTTTGAGACCAGACTGGCCATGGTGAAACTCCATCTCTACTAAAAATACAAAAATTAGCCAGGTGTGGTGGCGGGCGCCTGTAATCCCAGTTACTCAGGAGGCTGAGGCAGAAGAATCACTTGAACATGGAAGGCACAGGCTGCAGTGAGCCAAGATCATGCCAGTGCACTCCAGTCTGGGCAACAGAGAGACCCTGTCTCAAGGGGAAAAAAAAAAAAAACACCCACACACACAAACAATAAATAGTTCAAAAGAGAAAATGGAAAAGCATCTAGTATGAATATAGCATTAAGCGAGGCCAGATTCTGAGTTATGAAAAAACTACTCTTACGTTGCAGGGAGATCAGGCTCTCAAAGCAGAAAGCAACAATGACTTCCTCTAACAGAATCAAGAAATTTAAAAACAAAATTTTTTCTGAGAGAAGTATCGTTCTTTTCCCCCAGGCTTGAGTCAGTGGCTCAATCTCGGCTCGCTGCAACCTCTGCCTCCCTTTGTATTTTTAGTAGAGACTGGGTTTCACCAAATTGGCCAGGCTGGTCTCTTACTCCTGACCTCAGGGGATCCGCCTGCCTCAGCCTCCCGAAGTGCTGGGATTACAGGCATGAGACACTGCGCCTGGTAAAAAATTTTTGAGACACCCAGGCTGTGATGCAGTGGCCTGATCTTAGCTCACTGCAGCCTTGACTTCCTGGGTTCAAGTGATCCTCCCACCTTGGCCTCTGGAGTAACTGGGACCACAAATGCGCACCACTATGCCCAGGTAATTTTTAAATTTTTTGTAGAGACAGGGCTTCCCCATGTTGCCCAGGCTGGTCTTGAACTTCTGAGCTTAAGCAACTCACTTGCCTCAGCCTCCCAAAGTGCTGGGATTACGGGTGTGAGGCACTGCACCCGGCCAAGGAGTTAATATTTTATTTTATAAAATATTTTTTTGAGACGGAGTTTTGCTCTTGTTGCCCAGGCTGGAGTGCAATGGCGCAATCTTGGCTCACTGCAACCTCCGCCTACTGGGTTCAAGCGATTTTGCTGCCTCCTGAGTAGCTGGGATTACAGGCACACGCCACCACACCCAGCTAATTTTTTGTATTTTTAGTAGAGACAGGATTTCACCATGTTGGTCAGGCTGATTTCGAACTCCTGACCTTGTGATCCACCCGCCTCGGCCTCCCAAAGTGCTGGGATTACAAGCGTGAGCCACCATGCCTGAGTTACTTTTAACTAGTTAACTAATTTTAACTAGTTTTGTAATGCAAAAATGTATCATATCCATGTTTACCATGTCACTTCTAAAAATCCTTCACTGACCATCCCCATCTAAACAGAATTCTTGCTTGACATTTCTGCATTTTCTCCTCCCTCAGAATAGAAGCTCCAGAACCCTATATATGCCCAACACTTAAAACACCACCTTCCAGAGTATCATTCAATAAAATATTTGTTGAATCAACAAATACTGTTAGTCTCCAATGTTTGAAATTCGCCAACCCTACCCATCAGATCAAAGGGTATACTGAGAGAGTAAAAATGGCGTTCAGTGGTGGGTCTGTCCTTTAGAGAAAAAGAAACCAAAGTAGGTATGTACAACCATCCAAGAGAAATGGCAGAGAACCAACCCAGCCAGGAAAGGAAAAAACTAACAGAAAAACATTTGCTGGGAAGATTAAATGAGAACACATGAAATACCCAGCACAGGCTTCACATACAAAAATATTCAATAAATTACATGTTGTATA